CCTCTCCCTCTCCAGAAAGGTGTGACAGCCCCTTCTGAAACACTTCCCACATCCCTTTTCCTTATCTGTGATCTGAGACATCTTTTATATGCCAGTCTCCAGTCTGCAGCTCCTCCTTCCTGTCTCCCAAGATCATTCTCACAGACCACGACAATAGTTTGATGGATTTTTCCACCGCAGGTATGCTCCCCTTATGGGAATCTGTACGTCCTCCCATGTCATGCACCAACCTCAGTCAGCTCCACATTAGCTGGGTCGCCCATGATGGTACCGTCCGGTTGTTTATAACCAGCGTAACGGATGACCTGGGAGTTCCAGACCCGGAAGTCGTGTTTGCCATCCGTCCTCTGGGGGAAGATGGTGATGGCGGACCTAGAGGGCAAGAGAAAAAGGGGCACGGTTTTAACATTCTAGGAATTCAAGCCCACAGGTCTTAAAGTGGCCAAGGTGGGACACCTCTGTTTTAGGCGGTCTTGTTTGATTCTGCAAAATAATTGGAGCTGTCTCCCAGGAGTGGCTTGGTTTGCTTGGAAGTGGAGCTTTTTTTTGCCTTGGTTTCCTTTTGTAAATAGCGTTAAGCTCGTTTTAGCTTTTACCATACTATTTTTCCATCTTGAAATGAAAAGGAAGGCCGGCCTCCAATTTACAGCAATTATAGCAATTCAGGAACACTGCTGGAGATGCTTTGGGAGAGGGCGGTAAAGAAGGGGGCATGGAAGCCACGGGGAGCCATAGGTCTCTACGTTGCCACCCCATGTTCTATAGGCACCAGCAGCTCCTCTGGAATCCTTTGTATACAATCAATTCGAGTGGAAAATCCATCCCATTTTAGACTAGAATGTTCATTTTATGCTATTTTTCATTTTATTTTATCTGTTTGCACCCCGCCTTTATTATTTTCACAAGTAACCTGCTTCTTCCTATTTTCCCCACAAGGCTGAGAGAGAGGGACTGGCCCAAACTCACCTGGCTGGCTTTCATGGCTAAGGCAGAACTAGAACTCGGAGTCTCCAGGTGATTGGCCCAAAGTCACCGAGCCGGCTTTCACGGTTAAGGCGGGACTTGAACTCATGCTCTCCTGCTTTCTAGCCTGGTGCCGTAACCACTAGACCAGGAGTCTTCAAACTTGGCCCTTTTATGACTTGTGGACTTCAACTCCCAGAATTCCTCAGCCAGGCACGCTGGCTGAGGAATTCTGGGAGTTGAAGTCCACAAGTCATAAAAGGGCCAAGTTTGAAGACCCCTGCACTAGACCAAACTGGCTATGGGAGATTCTAACTTTGGGTTGCTCCGTTTTTTGCTAAGCTTCCCAAGCAAAGATAACAAAACGGGTCTTGGTCCAATGCCATCATGCCATTTGGGCATCAACGCACACACACACACACACACACACACACACACACACACACACACATGTACCTGAGGTTCCCTTTGTTTGTGGCATATTTGATGTGGTTGCAAATGTAGTTGAACATCCCATGGGCTGTGGTACAGTCCCGGGCATCAAAAACCTGGAAGAATAATAATAGAATAGAATAGAATAGAATAGAATGTAGAATCTTTATTGTCACTTTAAATGTACACTAATCAGCATAACATTAAAATGAAATTTTGTTCCATTCAGCTCTGAAAAAAATACCATTATGCATATACCCACATACCCACACATATATGACATCACAGTCTAGTTCGAATGTATACACATACGTGGCGGGGAAAAAAAGAATCCTGCAAATTTACAAGACGGATGGCATAAGGAACAAAGCTGTTACAAATCTAGTAGTTCAGCTATAAATACTTCGAAACCTCCTCCCAGAGGGGAGCAACAGAAGAGTCGGAGTTATGATCCACAAGGACTACAAAGAGAATGAAGGCCCAGTTTTGGTCTTGAAGAAGAGAAGGCAGTACTGATGTNCAATTGGGTTGCTACGTGTATTACAAGTGGTTGCCAAGGGTCAGCCCACCTCCCTTCCTACCTCTCCATTCTCAGGAGGGTCCCCGTTGCCGAAGGTGCTTGTGACCACCAGAACCAGGGTTTCATGTTCCAGGTGAACAGTATCATACTCATCCATCGACATCACCTGAAAGGATAAAACTGGTAGCTTCAGAAGAACGAGCTTGAAAGCCACCAACTGTAACTGAACAGAAGTTGTGGGTGATCCATCATTGGAGGCTTCCTAGAAGATACTGGACAGCCATTTGTTCAGAATGGTATAAGGTCCCCTGCTTGAGTAGGGGGTTGGATGAGAAGACCTCCAAGGTCCCTTCCAATTATGGTATTCCATAACTGCAAATATGCACCAATGTGGACATTTGTGTGCAACAGTTGGACAATTGCCTTTTTCTTCCCTCTAAAAGCTCCAGAGACAAAAGGCAAAATCAGAAAGAAAGGGCTGCCAGATTGCATGCTATTTATAAATTAGCTGTCTGCCCTCCGTCCCTTCCCTTTTTCTTATGATTCAAATGGCCTTTTGTTTTTTAAACTCCACTTGCATCTGCAACTTTTTCTTTTGGCTGTCAAAATCAGGAGATTCAAGCAGTTCCAAGGAGTATAAAGACTTATTGCAAGCTTAAGCTCTCGACAAGAATCTGAACCGCTAACAGTCAAGAGAAACGAGCGGGAGATAAGAAAGCATTCAAGATGAGCTGGATTTCACGCGAAGGGACTCATGACCGATGACGCGTTTGACCTCTCCCTCAGTCTCGGGCCTGCTCATCTCCTACATCATCAAGTAGAAACAACAAGTAGGAAACGTCGCTTTGGAGGAGTTGCAAGCCTGCTCTGGGAATCGCGAGGCATCGAGATGGAGTTGTTAACGTTGCAGATGCTATTAATTGATCTCTGCTGCAAAGATTGCATACCACCCTCCAAACGATCCCGAAAGGATGGGGATTTTTCAAGGCTAATCTAGGAGAATTTTGTATTTCAGCCTCAGTGAAATCGGGACAGCTCTCAACTTCTTGGGAATGTGGCACTGTTTGTTGGGCCATTCGCTCCTGTGGTCTCCTGTGGGTGCCCAAGCATGCTTAGGCGCTTACCTTGGCATCAAAGGCATGCTTGAAGATTTCACAGAGTGTTTTTGCATAGACCTGGGATTTCCCTGTTTCCGTGGCATACAGGATGGTTGCTTTGACCCTCTTCGCCATTGCTTGACCCATCAGCTTCGCAGAGAACTTGACAGCTCTGTGTGGGAGATGAAAAGAAGATAAATTCATTATTGTGGAAAGATCTCCTGAGCATTATACCACTTTATACCGCACTGGGGACGCCAGGCTTGGAATACTGCTAACAGACTGCCCACAACTTTGAATGTCTAGATAGAAATGATCCTTGGCTCCATTTGATGAGATATAGTTTTATTAGAGATCAAGTGTATTGGAGCATTGCACAGCCAGAACTGAGAATCGTGCACCCAATTCGATGCGTAGAATCATTTGAAGGGATAAATTTTTAGTTAATATTTTTTCTGAACAAACTCAAGATACTCAAACCAGACTTTTCAGCGTTTGGGTGTCATGGTTGAGATGGGCCCTGCTGGCATGCTGCTTAAAGTTTTAATGGCACGTCTAAAACCGTGTTATACACAGGGAAATGGAATGGTGCGGCTGCATACTTACTTAGCTAATTTTTTAAAGCCAATTGTTCTCTTCTTAGTTGGGGTGCCATTGCCAACTTTCCAGATGTGGGTGTGCCAGGGGTCAGGCTGGAAAGAGAGAGGGAAAGAATCTCAGTTAAAAGTGAAGAACCGAGTCTAAGGATGAAGTCAAGAATTTATCCTGTCCAAAAATAGCTTCAATAGCTTTCGTGGGTATTGTTCAGCAGTTGAATCCTAAATCATACCTGTGTTACTACACCAGACTTAATCTGGCCCTATTGAATTAACTGGCCCAAAGTCGCCCAGCTGGTTTTCATGGCTAAGACAGGACTAGAACTCCCAATCTCCCGGTGATTGGCCCAAAGTCACCTAGATGGCTTTCATGTCTAAGGCAGGACCAGAACTCACTGTCTCCTGTTGATTGGCCCAAAGTCGCCCAGCTGGTTTTCATGTCTAAGGCAGGACTAGAACTCACCGTCTCCCACTTTCTAGCCTGGTGCCTTAACCTCTAGACCAAACTGGCTCTCTTATGGTGCTTTGTTCTCTCTCTTGCCCCCAAATGTACTCTTAATTGGTTCAAAATTTGTGTTCTGGTCAACGGCATGGAACTAAAAATGCTTCTTGCAGAAAATCCTATAGTTCTCCTGTATGGAGCTTGGCTCTCATGTCCTGGAAGAAGACTGATGGCAAGTCTTGGAGGGGGGGGGAAGGGGCTTGAAAAGGGGCCCTGGCTTGGCAGGGAAGCTGAAGTCTTCTGGAGCTTTCCAGAGTCTCCATTGGCTCTGCAAAATTCCTGACAAAAACTATGGAAGGGCATCGAGCTGGCTTTTCCTGGCGAGAATGCGATTTTAAAATTCGGCAGACGTACAGTCCCCTCCAGCATTTCCACAGCTGAACAACGGCAACAGCTCTCTTAATAATGACGTGCAAATCCCATCGGTCTACATCAATTTCCTGCATAAATCTGGTCTCCGCCAGCAGGAAAAGCCTTCTGTAACCATTTCAGTTTATTAATTGAGGCTTTCCCTAGTAATTTTAGCTTCCTATTCGGAAACCTCTGGGTGCCTTTTCCTACTTCTGATCTTTCTCTCAGCTATGGTAGCCCTCCCGCTCCCTTTCCTGGGAATGCAAATTTTATTCCATCAATGTATGTGGCCATCCATCTCAGGCAGGTGACTCTGGGTAGCTCACAACAATAATACCAGGCTTGGGTTATATACGACGCTCGTTTTTATCTTCTCTACAAAACAAGATCTGCAGAGACACCAGAATGTGGAATGTCGGTGCATCCAATAGGTCATTACCAGCATGGACGACCCACAATTGCAGGTTGCATCAACTGCTTTGATTTAGTTACAAAGCCTTAGTAAGACCACTCTTAGAATATTATATCCAGTTCTGGTCATCACCAAAAAGATGTTGAGACTCTTGAAAGAGTGCAGAGAAGAGCAACAAGAATGGTTAGGGGGCTGGAGACTAAGACCTATGAAGAACCGTTGCAGGAACTGGGTATATCTAGTTAGGGAAAAGAAGGACTAGAGGAGATATGATAGCAGTGTTTCAGTGTTTGAAGGGCTGTCACCAAGATGAGGGGGTCAAAGCACCAGAAGGCAAGATAAAAACCAATGGATGGAAACTAATCAATGAGAGAAGCAATCTAGAACTAAGGAGGAATTTCCAAACAGTGTGGACAATCAACCAGTGGAATGGCTTGCCTCCAGAAGTTGTGGGTGCCCCCATCACTGGAGGCTTTTAAGAAGAGACTGGACAGCCACTTGTCTGGAATGGTCTAGGGTTTCCTGTTTGAGCAGGGGGTTGGACTAGAAGACCTCCAAGGTCCCTTCCAGCTCTATTCTGATTGATTGGAGGAGAGATCCAGAGAGATTCCAGAACTAAGAAGAAATTTCTTCAGAGTGAGAACAATTCATCAGTGGAACGACTTGCCTCCGGATGTTCTGGGGTGCTAGACAGCCAACTGTCTGAATGGCATAGGGTCTCCTGCTTGAGCAAGGGGTTGGATTTCTGAGGTCTCTTCCAACTCTGTAATTCTATGTTCTATGTTCTAGTTCTCCATCCCTAAACATCAACTGGAATCTGAACTGAAGGGCAGGTGAGGAAATGGTACCTGATACTCAAAGGAGGGTGTAAGTCTGTAGTTGAGCATTTCCTGGTGGAAGACAGGGGTGATGCTTCCAGACATGGGTGGGACAATCCACACCCAGTCAGCTGGACAGCCTCCCCGGCAATGATATTCATTCTCCATGTGCTTGATGAAGGACTCGGTGGCCGAGTGATGATCCACAATCGTCACCTTGTCGCTCTGTAGACAGAAGGTACAAACTACACCTAAACAAATGCAACGTTTCAGGGCTTAATTCACGCAATATGAACTTCTGGGTCCAATTCAAGGTGTTTATGGAGATTCTCAGTCATCTAGGTCATATTTGTCCCAAAGACGCTTTTTCAAAAGGTAACTGGACATTGTTTTTCCTGGAAGACATTTTGCTTCTCATCCAAGAAGCTTCTTCAGTTCTGACCGAAGGGTGGAGGATATAAATCCTTCAGTCAGAGCTGAAAAAGCTTCTTGGACAAGAAGCAAAATGTCTCCAAGAAAACAAAACGAAGTCCAGTTGCTGTTTGAATAAGAACCTTTGGGAGAATTTGAGGTCTTGGTTATTACAATCATAGATGCAGTTTCTCTTAGTGACCAAGTTGCCAGTCCCAATTACGGTCTACCGTTACAGCTTTCCGAAGATTGTGTATTTCTAACAAATGGCTATAGTTTTATGTAATAATCTTGCCGGTACCTGGAAACTGTACAGGACCGCAATGTTGATTTCCACCAGTGCCTGATCTTTCCAGAGAGAGGACGTTTTCCGCATGTCTAAATTCATCTTTTTGGCAACTTCCTGCAATGTACAAATAACACAGGTTCATCGCAATTAGACGTGAAAATGACGCTTGATCAAATGGCAGGGCCGGATGAGAAATTTTTAGAAAACAGAACAGCCTTGTCAATGCAGTAAGTTTCGAAAGAGACCCCAAAAGTTTATCCATTGTGAATCTGGTTCTGGTTACTTATTCTAAGCAATATGCCACTCCTCAATCTGATTTGAGCTAGGTTGTTAGAAAATCATTTTAACAGCTACAACAACACACACACACAAACAAAAAAAAACATTTTTGAATCTGTATTTGCTTATGTCTTTCTTCAAAGAATTGGGACATCCAAAATTTAGATACCCAACTTCAGAATTCCTAAATTTACACCTAAGGTGTAACTTGGGGTAGCTTTGTTTATCTGCTGCAGCAAATGTTGTTGCTATTGTTTTTAAATGTCTAAAAAGATCAGAGTCATTTACTGAGATGGGCAGCTATAGAAATAAAAGAAAGAGAGAGAGAGAGAGAGAGAGAGAGAGGGAGGGAGGGAGGGAGGGAGGGAGGAAAGGAGAGAGAGAAAGGAAGGAAGGAAGGAAGAAAAAGAAAGAGAGAGAGAGAGAGAGGAAGGAAGGAGGAAAGAAAGAAAGAAAGAAAGAGGAAGAGAGAAAGAAAGAAAGAAAGAAAGAAAGAAAGGAAGGAAGGAAGGAAGGAAGGAAGGAAAAGAAAGAGAGAGGAAGGAAGGAAGAAAGAAAGAAAGAAAGAGAAAGGAAGAGAAAGAAAGGAAGAGAAAGATAGAAAGAAAGAAAGAAAGAAAGAAAGAAAGAAAGAAAGAAAGAAAGAAATCAGACCTGCGAGATCCTGCAAATGTAGTCTTACAATAAAGTGGAATTAGCTCACTTGATTGTGTTTTCTGTCTGGTCTACCTAGGAAGACTAAAACCAATCTTCAAGTTTTCACTGCTGTCTCTTTTCTAGAGTGTGAAGTTAGGGAAGTTCTCTTTCTCTGCCTATTATGCAGCTGCAGGCTACTCCCTCTCTTATCGGATCAGTCCCAAGGCAGCAGCAGCAGCAGTAGCAGCCTCCCTTCCTTGTCCCAAGGCCTTTCTCACATACCCTCAGAGGCAGTCACTTTCTACCCTTGCAATCTCCTGGAAGGGTTTCAAAGATCCAGAAGTACGATTTGAGAGAGAAGGGCTACCTCTAGGATATTGTAGCGAGAGCTGTCGCAGTAATCCCGCACTCCGATTTCGGTCCCCATGTACCAGCCGCTGAAAGGGCAGGCAGTGAACTCCAGGCCTCCAATCTCAAGCAGCATGTTGGAAACAGCTGGTAAGGCATACCACTGGAGCCCGAGTTCTTTAAACCACTCGAATCTGTTAAAGGGGAAAACATTAAAAAAAAGAAGGAACAACAAGGACAGGGGTCTTCAAACTTGGCCCTTTGATGACTTGTGGACTTCAAGTCCCAGAGTTCCTCAGCCAGGCTGAGCAATTCTGGGAGTTGAAGTCTACAAGTCATCAAAGGGCCAAGTTGGAAGACCCCTGAACTAGCACAACTGCCTCCAGAGAAGCTGCAAAAGCTTAATCTACTTGAAGAGTCTCTGGTCCAATTCTGACGAAGAAGATGCTCCAGTTTTGGAAGGACATTTATGACTCAATCAATGATCAGTCAGTCATGTTTTGAGGCTCACAGCAAATTCCACGCCTGATCCATAAAGCACATCATCCCAACACATGACTAAAATGCAAAGCAAAATTAAAAATAATAATAATAAAAAAAGAAAACAGAAAGGAAGGGAACCACCATTACGTTGGGTAGAACTTATTCGGGGGAAATGAGAAGTGTCGTCTACACGTGGGTTAATGGAGCGCTATCCTGAAGGTCCCACAATATCATTAAGTTGGGAAACTCACAACTGCTTGGCGTCAACTTAACGGGAGCCAAGAACACATCTGGACTTACTTGGGGTGTCTCATGGGGACTTCCAACACCAGCTCAGGTGGGATCTCCAAAAGCTCAGGGTCATTCCCGTTGGCCTGGAGAAGGAGTGGCAGGACATCAAATCGGCCATGGGGGGCTTTCCACCCTTGCTGTATGCAAATCTGTACCCAAAGAAAAAATGTAGGGTTGTGGATATCCATGCAACAAAACACAGGTGCAAAACGTGATGTCTACCAACATCTGTTTGTTGATCCAGAGAGTTCCCTTAAAGTGATGCTTTTTTTGCATCTGGGATGTTGGGGACAGTGGGACTTGAACTCATGATCTAGCCTGGTGTCCGAACCACTTGACCAAACTGGCCTTTTTCAAAACTACTGCCAGGACTCTATGATCAATTTACAGCAGACAGTCCAATGTTGTTCTCGTAAGGCTTGGCGGAATCTAAATCAGTAGGAAAGCAAACCAACCAAGCTATATATATATTTAATGTTCAATAGTGAGCAGTGATATTGTCACAGGGCACTTCTGTTTCAAATTTTGCATGGTTTCCCCTGAGTAAGCTTCAAATACTCATCATTTATAAAGTGTTCGGTTTCTAAAAGACGCTTTGGAATAAGCATGAAGAATCATGTTAATTGGTGTCAAAGCTGCTATTTAAAAAGCAGCTAACGCTGGCTGCAGAACCGAGTTTGTAAGATGCTGGAGACAATCAAAAACTAAAAGATAACGATTAAGGACAAGCAGACTTGGATTCAGAAGCGTTTTTTTAAAAACACACGCAATTAAAATTGTTTAGCCCTTCGAGGTATTCCAGACGAGAAGCACAACTAGGAGTTCTAATTATTAGTTCACAACTAGGAGTACTTATTGTAAAGTTACATTAACTTTACATTAGCTCTCTCCTCTCCTCTCCTCTCCTCTCCCTCTCCCTTTCCTCTCCTCTCCCCTGCTCTCCTCTCCCCTCCCCTCCCCTCCTCCTCTCCTATCCCATCCCCTCTCCTCTCTCTCCTATTCTCTCCCTCTCCCCTCCTCT